ACTTTACCAGATCGGGTCGCCCCGACCCGACTGTTGGGTGCAAAACATATTTTGCACGTCAACCTGTCGCCTATTCGTCGAGCAAGGTGAAATTTGAAGGTATTCATTTTAAGGTTATTTGAGTTGTGGGGAATGCGCATTTGTGTGCTTTTTATTTTGGCGTTTACGGTTTGTGAAACGCTTCGCTCTATTTCAGGTATCTTCATAGCAATCAGCTGACTGGCTCTATCCCTTCAGAGATTGGCTCAATGACGAAGTTGACTTTCATGTAAGGATTTTTTTGTATCGGACGCGCAACACAAATCTCGTTTTCTTATCTCCTATCATGGGGAACCAAGGTGGAACAACAACCCTTGGGACTGTAGCGATGGAGACAGTGGGAAGGAGGAGTAGGACAGGGAGGAAGATGAGTAGGATGCTAGCCAGAGATCTATCCTAGATCAGGGATGAGGAAGGGGCGAATACGAACGTGTTCGTGTTCGCCCCTACACGAACACCGCCGTTTGTCGAACCGATCACTGTTCGGTTCGGCGAACACTTTGAGCAAAAAATTGTGTTCGCCGTTCGCCTGTGAAGGCGTGTTCGGGCGAACCTCGAACACGTTCGTGTTCGTCGCCGGGCAAATTGCAGCAGCGGCCCGAACACGAACGTGTTCGGGCGAACCTCGAACACTGTTCGGCGAACGATTTAAGAAAAAAAAAACCTGTTCGGTTCGCCTCGAACGTGTTCGAGGCGACAGGTGTTCGTTTTTTTGCTCAACCCTATCCTAGATCAATTTAGGCCTGTTCATTAGCAGTTTTGTGTATGTTCGCACTCCTGGAGGTAATTGGAAGCAATTATGAAGTTCTATGGATTTTTGTGTAAAAAAAACTGCCAAATCTTTGAAAAGCTCACGATATAGTACGCCTGTGAAAATCAAGCTGTATTTTGCAGTAGTCGTGTTTTTTTACCCTGTACCGAATCCAATGGCGAGCAACTCGGGTCGTCCGACCAGCCAAATATGCTTACCATTTGCGCAGATCGGCGATTTTGCGATAATCTCCTAAACCATCCAAAAAAGAGCAAACATTAATCATCAGCATTCCTCAATTTATCCTCTGGAAGCTCATCCATCCCTTAGTACCATGTTTGACACGAATCACTGCCTTTGTACTTGCCCATGGTAAACCCCACCGTCTGGCTCAAATCCAACGGCCGGTCCCTTTGGAAGAATCAGTTCACTATCAATCCTTGCATAAACTGGATCTCTACAATCTCTGTCATTGCTAAGTACCATGCTCGACTGACATGAGTCAATGCCTTCGTGCTTGCCCATGGTAAACCCCAAATCTGGCTCTTCGTTTTGCACTCAATGCAATGGCAGGTCCCTTGCGAATAATCAGTTCCATGGTTCGATACATGCAGAAATTGGATCTCTACAGTCTCTGTCATTCCTGTACGGTTCCTCGCCCTATGAGCATATGCATGTGGGGGCTGAGGCGCCTGGTCTCGAGCAGCGACGAGCCGGTGGGCTAAGAGTGCTGACAAGCCGAACGGACAAGTCGAGCCGTTGGTTGAGACTTATGTTCGTGTCTACTCCATACTAGACATGAGCAAGCTTCCAAACCTAGAGTCGGTTTGGTTCGTCGAACCTTTTTTTTGTCAACTAATGGTCGCTTGAACATGTTCGGGGTTCGACCCGAACATGTTCGGTGTTCAGAAAGTCACATGGGGAAAATTTCCGAACACCAAACATGTTTGGTAGAGATGAGCATTTTCCCCGCTCGGGTCGGGCCGGCCCGACCTGACCCGTGGTTTAGCCCGGGTCGGGTCAGCGGTTTTAATAGCCTGCCCCGTGCGGGCCGACCCGACCTGACCCGGGCTAAAACCCGACCCGAGCATGGGACTCGGGCCGAGTCGGGTTGGGTTTCGGGTCAGCTTTGACCCGACCCGAAATCGGGTCTGGATTTGGGAAATTGGGTCAGGTCAGACCCGACCCGATTTCGACACAGGGGGGACTCAAAACCCTAACACATTCTATGTCAAGGGTAATTTTTTCCCCTCGACATCAATTCATTACCGCAAGCCTAATATCCTTCCTCCAGCGACCAAGGCACCTAGGAACCATAACTACTTAGTTTGCAGCCAAAGAATGATGCGACAAGTTAGAAGTCGACTTTGTGGAGAGGCTCAATGTCGAGAGATCTGTAAAGAGTGGGGGGGGGGGGGGAATGGTAGATTTAGTGCGGTAAGGAGTGGTGAGCAGTGGCGAATTGGTTGGAAATATTTGTTCCAACACATTCGTCGGAAACGAGTGCCACGGCGAAACTCCCAATCTCCACCAGATCGACCAGCAAAATTGACGATTTGCAGAGTTACGCCAACGAACTCACCGATCTGCGCAGATTCGGCGAACGAAATCGCCGATCTGCGCAGATCGGCGCTTGAAATTGCCGATCTGCGCAGATCGGCGGGCAAAATCGCCGATCTGCGTAGATCGGCGGACGAAATCGCCGATCTGCACAGAGCGCGAGCGAAATCGGGTTTCCTGACCCGACCCGACCCGGTCCGAGTCGAAGTCGGGTCAGGGTCGGCCCGGCCCTGTACCCCTGGGTCGGGTCAGGGTATTCAACATCCTGGCCCGAGGCTGGCCCGACCCGACCCGGCCCGGGAACCCGCTCGGCCCGGCCAAGTCGGGTCGGGCCGGGTCGGGCCGGGCCGGGCCGGGCCAAATGCTCATCTCTAATGTTCGGGAAGTTTCCCCGCAATTCCGAACATTTGATGTTCGGAAAAAACCACAGTGACATTGGTCGGGGATGTTTGGGCGAACATGTTTGGTATTCGCCAGTTGCTCATGTCGACTCCATACTACCTTGTCTCTTAACTTCATCACATTTTTTCCCTCTACAATTCTTTCCTGTCATTTCTTCCTCTCCCTTCGTAATCTTGATTTGGTGCTGCAAGCACAAAAATGGAATCTGATCCTTTCGTCCTGTGCGTCCTCCCCCACACCGCCAAGCCAATCCACCCACATTGCTTCGGATTTTGTTCAGTATTCACAACTTCTGATCTACCCCGCTAACCCTCTACAAATTTGCTGATATCTTGTGCTCTACTATTATTTTCTTGTTCCTCTTGCATCCAGTTAGACATGAGCAGGTATCGAACTTTGAGTCGATCCCATCCGAACGTGTATCACTCTTGAATCGAATTCGAGCACTCGGAATCGAACCCTTTCCCAGAGGGAAGTTTCGATTGTTCGAGTGTTTGGTCGAACGGTGGTGAGTTTGGTTGAACAATTTCCTGTTCGAATCGAACTTGAGCAAGTTCGTTTTGGGGGCTCTTCAGCATAGTCACACTGTGGGCAGGCCAAAGTTTTATACCGCCCAAACATGACAGGGTTTTGGCAGTGGCTCGTAGTGTGGCTCAATGGTAGTTACGTTTAGATATGAGGACAAACCGAACTCGAACATGTTTTCTCAAACCTTTTCGAATCTTGCATGGTGCTTGAACCTAACCGAGCTGGTTTGCTCGAACTTTTTTTTGTATTTTGAGGTTTGAGGTTTGAGTATTATATAGCGAACCCTAAAGGTTTGCTCTGAGTGAACTCGAACCTAGTTAGGTTTGGGGTTAATAATGATGCTCAAGGATATCTAAAGAAGACGCACTAATCTATCTATCCTAACAATCAAGTAAACGTTTGACACATCTTTAAGATGGAGTTGTGGTGAAAGAACGGTTGAGAGGAAGCATGGGTGTGCTAGAGTTGATCTAGATGTAGATCTCCTCTGCTATTATTCGAGATTAGGGTTGGCTGCCTTGAAATGGCAGCCAACCCTACGAGTTTCCCGTTTTTTACGGGAAAGTCGCGGGGGTTTCTTTCTGGCGGGAATCAAATTTGGACCCCTCGCTGTTCGAATTTGACAGTTTCGAACTTCGAATCTGTTCGGTTTGAAGTTCGAGTCTCGAACCGCAAAAGTTCGCGCAAACAGTTCGCACGAACTTCTGATAAGTTTGCGCGAACTAGGCATGGGCATCTGACCAGACCCGGCCCGACCCGTCCCGTCTAGGGCGACCCGTTACCTTAACGGGTCGGGACGGGTCGGGTCGGCGGGTCGGGTTTGACTATGTTTTGATGACCCGACCCGCCACGTAGGCACGGGTATTTGTGACCCGTACCCGGGTCGGTTACACCACAGGTCGGGTCTGGTCGGGTTGGGTCGGGTCAAAACTTGCTACTGAGCAGCAGGGTATGGGGGTTGAGTTTGAATTGCTACACTGTAAATTTCATGTTACAAATATAATATAATTGTTCATACGTGCCTTAACTTAGGGAACCTTGCACACATTATATGGCGTCCAAGCACGCTACACGTTCTTTTGCTAAAAACAAATGTCTGGCGTAGGTCATTAGAGCAACAAGCCTGTTAGTGTATGTCAAGCATAGAAATAATTAAAATTTAGGGTATCACCAGAAGGTTTATGGCAAATAGTCGTAGGCCTATAACAACCAGGCCCCCGTAGCAAACATTACTCAAAACCCATGGTCCTCGGCCTCATAGCACAACTCCACAAGCGCACGCGCAACCCCTGCCACGTTGAATGACCTGCCGCTCGTGTTCTGAGCCATCCATGACTTGATAGCCATGAGGCCGCTGCCGTGTCACTACGTTCCTGCCCTAGCTAAACGCGCGCTCGCTCGCTGCAGAGGTCGATGGCGCTGCCAAATAGTACCGAGCCATTTCCCTCAAACCCTCTAAATCCTTCCTATCACGCCAGTACGCCAGCGGGCAACCCTTCTGCCAGCCCTCAGCCAAGTAAATGTCAACTTCATCACTTTTCCGCCCCCCCATCGCTTCCTCAAATGCATCCATCTGTGCAAAAAGCGCATTCTCGAAGCTGGACCCCCCCCTGCCAGCGGGACGCGACGTCCCTGCGGCCTCACCAGCAAGACCAGTGCTGTCAGTGACCTCCCCCATGCCACTCGTAACCTCACCACCACCTCCCCGGCTGCGCACTCTCTACTGATATGCGACCAACTGATCGCGCACCAGGCGTATCACCGTCGGCTCATCCACGCCCTGCACACTCCTAGCGCATCCCCCCACCTCTGTCACGTGCGCTGCATTGAGCGCCTCCCACTCGGGCAGCTGGAAGAAGATGCTCTTGTATCGGGGGTCAAGGAAGGTGGCAATCGTCAACTCTTCCTTCGACCCGTACGAGTACTTCTTCAGCTTGCCGAGGGCTTTGGTGATGAGGGCCTGTGTGAGGGGTGAGACGCCTGGCTCGGGGAAGGTGGTCTCCAGCTTGTCCACAGCTGTCAGACGTTGCACCTTCGCGTTGTCTCTGCCTGCCAACCGGCGCTGCAGACTGGCAAAACTCTCGGACCGCTGGACCGACCATCCGATGTACGAACACTCATTGCGTAGGCATTTCAACGCCTCCCGCACATCGTCCAACTTCAATGCATCCTGCACTGCAATGTTCATGACATGTGCAAGGCAGCTGTATACGGAAAGGGCATAAGGGAAAACGAGTTAGCTACGTGTGATGTCACGTTGTGATATATTTCATACTACAGTATGCCACCAAAGTCCCACTTGTGAGTCGCGGCATGACATGACAGGACATACCGCACGTGACGCGCAATGTCGAGCAGTGGATTAGATGTCCAGGCATCTGGCCCCTCTGCTGTGGCCCCCGACAGAAGGCGCATTGCCCTGTTGTTGTTCTCCGCATTGTCCGTCGTCACAGCAAACACCACATCCTGCAGGCCAGCCTCGGTCAAAATGCACTCGAGGGTCTGTGCTATGAGAGACCCCGTGTGCGAACCCTCCAATAGCACGAAATCCAGAATCCCGTGACGCAGCTTGAAGTCACTGGTGATCCAGTGGACGGTCACGCACATGAAAGCTGTATGGTTCTCCCTGGTCCAGATGTCCAAGCTGAGGGGTCAAAGTGCGCTCGAGGGTCTGTGCTATGAGAGACCCCGTGTGCGAACCCTCCAATAGCACGAAATCCTGAATCCCCTGACGCAGCTTGAAGTCACTGGTGATCCAGTGGACGGTCACGCACATGAAAGCTGTATGGTTCTCCCTGGTCCAGATGTCCAAGCTGAGGGACACCCTCCCCACGAGACCGTTGCCAATGATCTCCTGCCTCAGCTCCTCTCGAGCCACCTCACTGAATGCTTGCATGTCCCGTGCCAAACGGTAACACGACCCCAGCATATCCGCGGCCGATGGGTTCAGCAAGTTGACAAATCGACGGAACTGGTGAGGTCGGGCATGGACATATAAGCACACAAACACACAGAGCATCGTCCCAACCTTATACCAGGGCATTTGAACCAACGAAGGACTTCACAAAGATGTTCAGACAAGAATGAAGAGTTCTGGTGCAGGAAGAGAGGGTAGAGTACTTGTTGATTGACTCACAGATGCTCGGTCAACCAGACGAAACGGAAGATCAGCATCAACAAACAACTCCACGAGAGCATTGCGTAGCTCGTCCAGCAACACCCGTGGACTCATGTACGCGTGCATGCCGGCACCACTACGACCCCCACTCGCCCCCCCCCCCCCCCCCCCCCCCCCCCGCCCACCGCCCGCGGCCGCAGCTGCTGGGATGTTCGGCCAGACAGCCGCGTGCTCCCATGCACCACCGTGCCTGTCTGGAACTGGTGGCCCGTCGCCCGACTTGCCATACCTGCCCCAAGGAAACTCTAGGTTCTTTGGCTTCACTGGGTCCAGGAACCGCCGCACCCAAATCTGCACATGAGGGTAGTGCGCGCTCTTGACATGCTTCCACCCATTGCCCGTGCTACCCCCATCCCATCCCAGTATGTCGCCACACACCCGGCACGGACGACAACCATCCTCAAGCTCACCAAACATCCCCACTAATAAACCAGAGTAGTGCTTCCTTGCCAAACCCTCAACCACCGGATCCTTGGGCAAATCCTCCTTTCTTGGACGTTTTTGCCTACGCCCACGACTCCCCGCTGTCCCTCCACCCCGACTGATGCCACCAGCACGCAACGGCGTGGACTCGACACCATCGGTGCGTTGAGAAGGTGCATTCGAGGGCCCTGGACCGGGCGCAGCCTCGGCCGCCCCCTCAACACCTCTGCCACCGCGCCGTGCCCTTGCAACACTATGCGCACCCCTCCCAACCGCCCCCCCACCTCGTCCATCACCTGAGGGGCCGGCAGCATGCCCCCCACTGCGTCCCCCTGCATTGCCTACGGGCTGCGCACGCGTAGTAGACCGATCCTGCCCGCGACCAACCCGTCCTCCCCCACGACCCCCTCGACCCCTTCCTCCCCGTCCAGATGCCCCTCCACGTCCCCCTGAATTGCGGCCAGCACCCTCCTACTCTTGCACCTCCTCCTCCACCTCCTGGTCCCCTCTCGCCCCCTCTGCAGAGTCCTCTGCTTCCGCCGCCTCGACCTCCGCTGCAGTAGGCCTATACTCATAGTCATCGCCTGCTGCATCACGCGAAAGCCTACCACCCTGCCACTCTGATGGAGGATTGCTAGGCCAGTAGGAGTCATCTTCCTCGCACCCTGCATCCCCGCCATCGGTCCCAACAGGGTGCTGTAGAGCACTAGCCAGCATAAAGCTGGTTCGTGCAGCAGGTGTTCGAAGTCGATTAAAACTAGCACCTGGCAGAGCTCGTCCTTCTTCATTCCCCCCTCCGCCTCCTTGGGTAGACTCCCCGTCCATATTCCGTTGAAGGTAGCGCCTTGGCGCTGCTGAAGGTGGCACCTTGGCGCTGCTGGAGGTGGCGCCTTGGCGCTGCTGGAGGTGGCGCCTTGGCGCTGCTGGAGGTGGCGCCTTGGCGCTGCTGAAGGTGGCGCCTTGGCGCTGCTGGAGGTGGCGCCTTGGCGCTGCTGGAGGTGGCGCCTTGGCGCTGCTGGAGGTGGCGCCTTGGCGCTGCTGAAGGTGGCGCCTTGGCGCTGCTGGAGGTGGCGCCTTGGCGCTGCCGAAGGTGGCGCCTTGGCGCTGCTGAAGGTGGCGCCTTGGCCTGCTGAAAGTGGCGTTCGCGATACTGGAGGTGGGGACCGCGCTTCTGGGGTGGCGTTCGCGCTACTGCAAGGCCGCTACCGCGCTATTGCGGGGATGCGATCCCGCCAATGCGTGGCCGGTCGCGCTGCACTAAAGCGGCGCCGCGATCGCGCATATGCGGAGGCGCGATCGCGCGCATGCGGGGCGCGATCGCGCTGCGCAAATGCTGGTCCGCGATCGCGCTATTGCGTGGCCGCAAACCCACCAATGCGTGGCCGCGATCCTGTCAATGCGTGGCCGCGAGAGCGCTGTTGCGCTCCTGGTCGTGCGACGCTGCGAAATGGCGGGAGCGCCTCTGCCTAACCTGACATCGAAGTATAAAAGAGTGTTAACAGTCAAGTGAAGACTCCAAGAGGCTTGGTAGGTGCAGTGCAGATCACTAGCTTAATCTAGGCTAGAGACTGGATCTGAATGTCGAGGGGGAAACAAAACATCAAACTCTACATATCGAACCCTAATCAGATGACAGGTCGGGTAACCCTGTCATCTGACTGGGTACGCGACCCGTACGGGACGGGTCAACCCGACCCGGCGGGTCGCTGATACCCGTCTCTAAATCACCTAGACGGGTCACGGGTCGACCCGACCCGTCCGGGTAAGCCCGACCCGACCCGGACGGGTCGACTAGCTCAGCATTACTGACCCGACCCGCCCTACTCGACCCGTCCGGGCCAAATGCCCATGCCTAGCACTATCCTAGCCTTCAGATTTGGGTCCGTCGCTTTCTGGACCCAAACAAGTCTAATGGGCTAGTTTTCCCGGATGGGGGTTGGGGACCTACAGTACCGGATAAGACGAAATGGCCGTGGGAGCACGCTGACACATGGCCTAACGTTCCGGCAGCAGAGATGGGGGCCGGGCCGAGTGGGTTGACCGGAGGCAGGGTACCATCGGTCAGTATGTCACGACTCGGGTTGGAGAGCGGCAGCTGCGCGAGGGCTTGGTCATGCTATTCGCCGGCCTTGACATGTCGTTCCGTTCTGTCGACAGGCCAGCGGTAAGCACTGTGCGCGTTTTCTTTTGTACTGGCGCACTATCGAGTATACGTTGACATGCTGTGCTCAATATCCTACCACCACTCTCTTCTTCCACTCCCAACCATGTTTGTGTCCCTCCTCATGGCAGTTTCGTGACTTCGTGACCGTGCTTAACCCCGACGCGGCACAGCATCTCGGTACTCGTTTCCGCCTTGCGCGGGACCTGCTGTCTGCGGGCGAGACGGCTAAGGCTCAGCTGCGACAGCTACTGACCTGAGACGGTCTGGCGGGGCGGGTGACACTCACCACAGACATATGGACCAGTGAGAACAATGTCGCCTTCATGGTGGTGACTGCTCACCGAGTCACCTCGGACTTCCATCAGATGGTGATCGACTTTCGGCCGCTGGAGGGCCGTCACACGGGGGATAAGATTGCGACCGAGCTGGAGGAGGTCATAGGGGAGTGGGCGTTGGGTGGTGATGAGTTCTTCAGCGTGACGACAGACAACCCCAAGAACAACAACCGGGCGGTTCGTCTGCTGGCCGGCGTCCCTGATTACACATCCGGGTCACGTCCGCGTGACCCCCCCGTCATGTCACTGGCTCGGCACTTCAAGTAAGTGCCATCCGCTCTTGCTACAAGTGTCCATGAGCATATCGGGTAATGTCAAGTACCCAACTGACCCCATACCATGGTTGATCATACCCATTCCTCTATGTCAATGCTTGCCCTCCAGGTGCGTGGCCCACGTCCTGAACCTCGCAGTGCAATACGCAATCAAGGTCGAGCCGGTGGCCGAGGCGCTCCGGAGGCTGCGTGCTGTGGCTAGCTACATCGGTGGTCAGTGCAGCGGTCGGAGCGTTTTTTTGACATCCAGAAGCGGTATGCTGCGACCCTTACGGAGACGCAGGCAGGGGAGGGGGCGGAAGAGGGGGGGGAGAGGCAGGCAGAGGGGGGCATTGCAGAGGGGGGGGAGCGACGTAGGCAGAGGGGGGCAGCAGTGTGCGCAAGTGACCTACTGACTTGTGCCTGATCGTTGACTCGGACAAGCATTGGGGTTCCACGCTGGAGATGGTGGTGAGGGGGTGTGAGCTGTCCATTCCTCTGACGATGTACTTCGATGAGTCCTCTCTCGTAAGTATGCAATTACCATCACGTCACCATGTACTGTCCGCATGTCAAGTCCACTTCATTTGTTAGACACTTTAGCTTGTACCACCTTATGTCGATTGGTTCGGCTACGCTGCCATGTAAGTTCCCAAGTCTTCCCAACCCCATCTCGTCACCATGTACTTCCCCAGTGTCACCTCCACGTCATCTATATACCACTTTGGAGTGTATGTTCCTATATCGAATGGTTGGGGCTTCCATGCCATGTGGGCTGTCTAGTCTTCCCAACCCCATCCCGTCACCATGTACTTCCCCAATGTCACCTCCACTTCATCTATATACCACGTCGGAGTGTATGTTCTTATATCGAATTGTTGGGGCATCCATGCCATGTGGGCCGTCAAGTCTTCCCAACCCCATCCCGTCACCATGTACTTTCCCAATGTCACCTCCACTTTATCTCTATACCACTTTGGATTGTATGTTCTTATATCGAATGGTTTGGCATCCATGCCATGTGGCCTCTCAACCCTTCCCAACCCCATCACATGACCATGTACTTCCCCAAAGTCACCTCCATTCCAACTAAATCACTCTCCATCCCTTCCCTCTCGCCCCCTCTCAGCCAAGCATCACGAAGACCACACACACGGCATGGCCAGAGATCAGGCTCTTCGACGCCCACTGGACAGCTCTCAACGAGCTGCGGGCTTTCATGGAGCCGTTTGATCGCATCACCCTGTTCGTGGAGGGGTTTTTGTACCCCATCATGGGATCGGTCGTGCCGCAGTACAACATGCTCCTGGATATCCTTAAGGCGAACAAAGATTCGTCCGACGTCTCGCAGCTGTGCAAGGACCTCTCAAGCCGGGCCTTGAGCAAGCTGGAGCGCCACATGGGGAGGGTGAGTGAGGAGTGTGCGATTGCCACCTTCCTCGATCCTCGGCTCAAGATGACATTTTTCAGGCTCAGGGCCCGGGGGGCGAGGATTAGTGCGCCCATTGTGGTAGAGGCGAGGGGGCATGCCAGGGGTGCCAGGACACTCGACCTGAGCGAGGAGAGGGTGAAGGCGCTCGTACGCGAGCGCCTTTCATCCTACCAGACTGCTGCCCATGCAGCGGCAGAGGCACGCCTTGGGGGTGAGGTTACGAGCGCTAGGGGAGTGACGGGGGAGGGCGTGGCGAGGAGCGGGGCTGCAGGGCGCAGGGGGGCCAGGTCGCGTGGCGTGCTGGACTTTCAGGCTAGGCTGTTTGCTGAGTTGGCAGAGATGGAGGCAGGGGAGAGGGTGCGTGCACAGGACGAGGTGGACCAGTATTTAGCTGAGGCGAGGCAGGAGGGTGGGTGCGCCTTAGCGTACTGGCGCAGGAGGGGGCTGCAACTGCCCGG